ATGTCCCTCTCGGAGATGACGTGCTCCTCTTGACTCGTCTGCACGATATGCTTCTTGTTCATCACCTTCAACGCGAATATTCGATTATCCACACGATTCCGCACCATCTGCACACGGCCAAACGCACCCAATCCGATGGTGTCAATCACATCCAATTCGGTCAGCTTTATCGCATTCACATCGTCACTTGCACTGGAATTTATCATTATCAACACTAACATCACCATCAAATCCATATAATCATCACTACATTATTCTATCATTTTTAATGTTAGGGTCGTTGTCAATTTTACTGCTATTTTTGCAATCCTTGTTCGTACTGCTATGGTTATTAATACTATTACTTCTTATTTCTATCATTATTATTAATTCATAATATTAGTTACTTTCGTCATTACGACTGCCCTTCTTCTCATCATTACTATTGTTATCACTGGCTCTATGAGGCAAATAGAAACTGAAACAACTCCTCAGGCGCAAATAGAGATTCGAATGATTGATAAACGGAATCAACCTCGTCTTCTTATTCTCGTCATCAACTGTCGAGAGTGTTTGAAATGTTCCACACAACTGATCCACTAGCATCTTCAAAAGCATGCAACCTCCCGCAGAAATCGATAAACACTTTCCGCCGATGGTAACCCTTCAAAGGAAGATATTATCGCTAGACGCAACAACCAAAACATCGTTGTTTTGTTGATCAAACGAAACGATCTAAAATACTTTCAAAAATATTTTTCGCTATTCACCATGTGCTCTAAAGGCAACAATCAATCACAAATAAACCATCTCAATTCAAGACATTAATTTTGACAGCGATAAAAGAGCGAAAATCAAACAATGTTCAAAGAAGTGACATAAAGAGATTCAATGTTACAAATTGTTTTCGTGTTGAAACTTCAAAATTAAAAGAAAGATGGCTGAAATTATGTGGCAAAAAATGCAAAAAAATAAATGAATGAATGAATCAAAATGTGTGTATTCTATCGTTGGTGAACATAAGGTGAGAACAAGCGTAATGCAGCACAAAAAGCACTGCTCAAAGCATCCAGGCAACTACTGCAAAACGTATCGCTCGAAACAGATTACAACGCAAATCGCTCACAACGGACCCAATCGTCGTGGCTCAATGCAAAAATCGGTTGTAATGCAGAACATCGAAACGATAACGAAAGCAACAAACGGTTGTGATAGAAGCAACTGAACGATTTAGATTTATTTATGTGTGTGTGTGCAGTGTTCGAGCATTCATTCAATCGTGATCATTGTGAGTAGAGTAAGCGATGTATGATTTTGCTTGAATGCTAATAAATTCACAATTTACACTGTACTCNTCGAAACTGTTTCACATACGTATACACTTGATCTTTGCAGCAGCTAGCTTAAGGAAAAAGTACAGTCAAGAAGGCTAACGCAAAAGAGCATCGTGTCTCAGTTAAATATGCATCTTACACATCATAGCTGAATTGCTTGAGAATAACTAACGCAATTATTATGCAGTGTTGTACTGTATTCAGTAATAAGTGCAAATGGTAATCAGTAATAAGCATTCATAATTATAGATACGCAGCAGACTTATTTAATACTCATAATAAAACAGTGCTCAAATAAACGACAAGACATGGCTACTCGACTAGCGGTTGCTTACCACGAGGCAGTGTTTGTTTATCAATAAATAACATCAAAGATCATTACTATCAAATTATCACTACATTCTATGGTTGGCTGGATTATTCGCTAGATTATTCGTAATGTACGGAAAAAAGACGTAATGTACGAAAGAATTTATAAGATGAACGACTTTTTGAAGCTGATTTGAACGTGTAATATTTGCACTGATATCGTTCATTTGCTTCGCACAACGAATGTTTCGTCTCTTTAACAATGAAGATGATTTTAGCAATAAGAAAATCATCAGTTTAATACTATTGCATTAAGCAAATGCATGAATAGAAATGAATTTTTGTCTGAAAGGCAGAATTTATGTAACAAATACTTCTCGGCAAACAACAACTACATCTTGTAATCAATCCGACGTTAGACACCTGAAAAGCATGTGGAAACTGAAAATCGTATTCAACTGAAAGTATTTGAGGTGAAAGAAAGTCACCCCACTGAATACAAGTGAAAAGACGACAATAGGGAGAGGTTCGTAAAATATCCTTCTGAGAGTTTAATGGTTTACGAAATTCGAAACTGACACATGAGTCAGAGTGTGCTTGCAAAAGTTGGTCGATTGCTTTTTGCAGCTGTCATTTCAGAGTTAAACTCTGATCAAGGAAGCATCGATTAACGCCTCAAAAGTGATAAGTGGAAAGCAGCAAAAAATAATAAGAGCGATAAGATTGCGTCACAAAATGTTTCGAATGTTACAGACACATTTCAGAAAGGTCTAAATTTGGAAACTGATACAATTCCATAAGAAGGGAGTATTGTCTTTACATGAAATAATTATTAACGAAAATTTTATGATGTCACTGACTGATTCAAGCAATCGTTATTCATCATTCTAAACATTATTCATTGGAAAACAACCCACGAGTATGGTGAAATGAGGAAATCGCTCGTCAGAGCATGAATGTGAATGCTCAAAAAAATCGCAAAATAAACAAACGGGAAAGATGATAGTCANAGGGAAATGACAGCTGCTTACGAAACATCCATCTCGTTGATGAGTTGGATGTGTTGCTTTTATTCAGCTCTTACGTCAAACGCCAACAAAAAGTAATGCAAACGCCCTATCCGATAAAAGCAAGAAAAGTGTTCCTCGTTGAAAAAAATGAACGCAATGGAAAAAAGCCAAACAATGTGAGAATTTCTTCATCCAGAACCCAATTGGTTTAACGGTAAATTTTGTGGAAGGCTAAAAAGGCTAAACTGAAATAAATTCAACTCACTGTATTAAGCGAATAATTGAGCGCTATACTAAAATCGTTGAAAAATGCATGCATTAACGAGTTTTTATGCAGTTGTCAATGTAGCAAGCATTCAAGGGCATGGTTGGTGGACTACTTCCTAGACAGAAACCATAATAGAACTTTACAATAAAACATGTTTCGCGTCAACGTCCTCAGCAACAAATGAGATCGGACAGTCGAAAGTCGATCGATCACAATTACAACAACACATTCACTTCAAATAAAATGAGGATGATATAAAATGAATGTTCTGAGCGATGAATGTTTCGCATCAATGTCCTTAGCATTGATAAAATGTCCTCAGCAACAAATGAGATGGGACGGTTAGAAGTCGATCGATGACAACTACAATAACATACTATCTTCAAATAAAATGAGGATGATATAAACCAAATCATGAAGAATCGATCTGCTGAACTGATATAGTTCGTTGTGCTGCCATGGAAGGCAAGGAGACAAACAAAAGGAACAAGAAAGAAATCTTCCTTTGTTCATAGTCGTTTGTTTCTTTCCCTTCATATCAGAGACTGATTGATTTTGCAAGGTCAATCATGCTACTCACGCATAATAACCCAAAGCGATCTTATATGAACTGAATATGAATATGAATCGTGTTGTTATGATTGTTGTTATTCGACTATGAACGGCAAAATTTGGCCATCCATCCATCCATCTATGGAAACGTCAATAAATTGATGTATTTATTCACTACTCATTCAGCTATTATTGACATACTGAACATTTGTTTAAGCTCCTTTCACTCTCTCTTCCTATTATTGCTCGTTTAGCATTCGTTGGGTGCTGCCTGCTAGCTGCTGTTGGTTGGCTCACATGTGGGACGTTTAATGAAGAGGATCTATTCGATTTTCGATGGTATTATATGCGTTTATAAAAGCGATTTCAGTAATCTATCGCACTCTATCATTTTCAAGTA